TGGGTTATGGAGCCTGATTTTACATTTTTACTGGAATGCAGACCCAAGTCTTTCTGATACTGTGTTCTTTCCACTCTACTCTCTTGCCTTGTCTTTCCTGTGCTCTGGGGAGAGAAGGGGAAAGAGTGGTAAATTTGAGTACTCTCATGCAGCAGGACTCTTATCACCCCGGCTGCGGGATATCGGCCCAGCTGGGGCCTTTGGAGACCTTGCTGCCACCACCTGCATTTCTTAAGAGCGAGACTGGAGATGAGGCGGAGGAGGGGGAGAGAGGCAGGGAAAGAAGGGGGGAAGGTGTGTGGTGAGGGGTGGAAGACAGGCTGTATAGATGGGAAACCAACCTAACTGGAACAAAGAACCCTGTCCCCCAAACTCCACCCCAAACCGCAGCCCTCCCATCATTTTCACCCCGGACTCCTGTTTCATAGTATGGTCCTGGATCCACTTGTATTAGAATCCCTTGCAGGGGCGGGGGGGAGGGGGGCAGTTGTTAAAAATGCAGATTCCCTGGCGCCACCACAGAGGTACTAAATCCCAATCTCTGGGGGGTAGGGCTCACCAATTTGCATTTTCAACAACCGCTCCTGGTAATTTCGCTCAGGAGACACTTTGATTAGGAACAACCATCCCAGACCAGTGTCTTCCAACTCTTTTGGATCATGCACCCTCTTCAGAAAGAATTTTTTGCACATGCACTTTCAATATATGTTGGTAGTTTATTAATAAATTCCTTACATGTACTAATGTCCTAATGTTTATGTGTTTAAATGCAAAAAATGGTGAGACTTTTGCATTAGTATTCTTATATGAGCCTGGTTTCTAGTTTGCCTTTACGTATGTTCTAGTTGTTGGGTTTTCGTGTTGACATCGTGCAGGACTCTTTTCTTCTCCCTCAGTAGATTCCAGAGTCTAGGAAGTGTAAATAGTATTGAGGTTGTCTGTTCCTTGAAGGCTGGTAGAATTAACATAAGACCGTGTGAGTGTGCTATCTTTTTTTGTCAAATTTATCAACATTGTTTCCTATGGTAACAGGTGCGCTTAGATATTTCCATTCTTCTGCAATCAGTTTTGGTAATTTTTGTTTTCCTAGAAAACCACCCTAAGCTTTCTAATTTGTTTTCATAGAGTAGAGCAAAGTATTCTCTTACTCTTTTCATTTACTCTGCAACTGTGGTTATTTCTCCATTTCTTATTTTGTGCATTTGGGGTTTTTAATTAGATTAGCAAGTGGTTTATCTTTTTATTGTTTTGTATTTTCTTTTGAAGAAGTAGCTTTTGGCTTTAATTATTAATTCTACCATTTGTTTTCCAATGTATTAATTTCTGCCATTAGTTTTCTCTCTGCTTTGCTTAGCTCTATTTTTGTGGCTCTTTTCTTGACTTCTTTTGTTCAGTGCTTAATTCATTGATTTTAATTTGTTCTTACATATTAATGTAAGCATTGAAGGCTTCGGTTTTTCCTTTGACCACTGCTTTAGTCAGTCAAATTCTCTAGTTTCTGATATTTCATTGTTGTTGTTTTTTAGGTATTCTACAATTTCAGATCAGATCTGTTTGACTAGAGTGGGGAATATTTTTTTCCCTTTTATTTTCTATGTACTAGAAGTTTTTGTCTTTCATTTTTGTCACTAATTTCTAGTGTTTTTATGTTGTGATTAGGTACCATAGTCTGTACTTTTCATTTTTTGACCTAATATAGAGTCAACTTAAAAAAGGTTCAATGGACCCTTGAAAAGAGAGAAATTTAAATATTCCCATTATCTTAGTTTTGACTGTCACATCTGTCATCAGCTGAAACAGCCTCATATTTCATTGCTCCCTTTTTCTACCTTTGCATTTCCTATGGCTTTTGCTTTATGAATTTTGATGCTATGTTTTTTGACACATAAAGATTTAGGGTAGTTAGATCTTAATCATGTGTTCTAACCACCAATTTATGGTGCCCTTCTTTGCCTTGTTTGTTGATTTTTGCCTTTAATTCTACTTTGTTACAATACAAATATAATGGCTGTTTTTTTTTTCGTTTTTGGCATGAATCCATTTATTTTATTATTTTATCAAAGTATACTTGATACACAAAGTTACATTTGCTTCAGGTGCACAACATAGTGATTTGAGAAGTCTGTACATTATGCTGTGCTCACAAATGTAACTGGAAACCTGTGTCTCCCACCCCTCTTCATCCATTTTGCCCATCCCCTCTCCCCCCACCCGTACCCTTCTGGCTACCATCAGATTGTTTTCTGTATTTATGGGTCTGTTTCTGCTTTTTGTTTATTTGTTCATTTTGTTTTTTAGATTCCACGTATGAGTGAGATCATATGGTATTTGTCTTTATCTATCTGACTTATTTCACTTAGCATAATACCCTCTAGGTCCATCCGCATTGTTGCAAATGGCAAGATCTCATCCTTTTTTATGTCTGAGTAATATTCCTCTGCGTGTGTGTGTGTGTGTGTGTGTACCATCTTTTAGCCATTCATCTTCTTTATCCATTCATCTGTTGATGACCCTGGGGTTGCTTCCATATCTTGGCTATTGTAAATAATGCAGTGAACATAGGGGTGCATATATCTTTTCAAATTAGTGTCTTCATTTTCTTTGGGTAAATACCCAAAGATGGATCATATGATATTTCTATTCATTAATCCATTTATTAAACAAAATTTATTAAATGCCTACTGTGTGCCAGGCTCTAGGTACTAGATAAATGAGACACATAAGATCCCTGCCCTCATGGAGCCTACATTTTAGTTAGAGAGTGGAGCATAAATTAAACAAATGAAAATAGATATGTGATATAATACTAAGTGGAGATGTGTGTTCTGAGAAAGAACAAAATAGAAAGAGGATAGTGAAGGATAAGTCATCTCTGTTTGAGATAAGGTGGTCAGGAAAATCCTCTGCCTGATAGCATTTGTCAACCTTTTACTCTCCGCTCACCACCTTGTTTGTTTCCTGCTGGAGGAAATGCCAGGTGGAACACTTTGCACACAAGGAGGAACTTAGAATCTTAAGGAACTATAGGTGGGCAAAGGCCCAAATGAGAAGGGAGTGTGGACGTGTGGAGGTGAATTTCTGATCCATGTGAGTGATGAGCTGGCCACGACGGGGACTGGAGATGAGCTGACTGAAGGAGATTTGGTTCTTCATTCTGTCTGAGCTTGGCTACCATTATGTGTATGATTATTTTTTAAAGAAATATTCGCAGTCTTCAGTATGACTATTGAATGGGTATTCTGTCTGATGATTTAATTGAACTGCTGGAATTTCCTGTCACTAGGCAATACTTAGCATGATGCTGATTGCTCACAGTCTACAGCAGGAAACCAGGTCTTCTGGTTTAGAGGGTTTAACTCTTTATACTCTGAGACTAAAGAGCCACCCTTTGACTTTGGTCACTCTTTATTATACAGAAGTTTGACTTTTTATGCATATTTTTATACATATTTAAATCAACCTGGACTTCTTTCTTTTGGATATTTTTTTCTATTGCTTATAAGATGAGAATCTCATTTTGCCTCACAAGTGACAGTCTTTTTAATCTTCTGATAGTTTTTTCTTATAAACATAGAATATATATACCTGTATACACATATAACATACATTAAAATACACACACACATACCCTTAACTCTTGAATCTGGAATTTATTTTGGTACATAATAGAGGGTGCAGCTCCAAATATCACTGCTCCGCAGTTATCTCAAAAAAATTTTTTTTAAAAATCATTCTTTATCTCCTTGTTATGGAAGGTGAATTATATATGATGTTTTTATATAGTTCAATGTGTTTCTGGAGTTTTCATTCTGTTCTACTAATCAGTAACACACTGTTTTAATTATAATTGCTTTATAATATGCCTAATCCCTCACCCCCATTTCTTCTGTAGCAAAATACTTTTTAATATTGTATCTTATGGGCGCCTGGGTGGCTCAGTTGGTTAAGCAACCGCCTTCGGCTCAGGTCATGATCCGGGAGTCCCAGGATCGAGTCCCACATCGGGATCCCTGCTCAGCAGGGAGTCTGCTTTTCCCTCGGACCCTCTCATGCTCTCTCTCTCTCTCTCTTTCTCTCTCTCAAATAAATAAAATCTTTAAAAAATATATTGTATCTTACTTCATGTTGCAAATTAATAAAAGATGCTATAGTTAAAAATTCCTGTTGAGAATTCTGACTAGAATTGCATTAGAAGGAGCTATTTTAAACCCAAGATTGTAGATATTTGTGAATTGCCTGCTTGATATCTTTTGGTACAAGTATAAAAACACGGACAGAAAGCATGTCAAATTCACGATACAGCTTGCATCTGGAGAGGCAGCAGGGGAATAGAAGTGGGGAGCTAAACAAAGGGTACTATGTATGTATCTCTTTTTTAAAAAAATCATCAAGTATAGACGGCAGAGTATTAAAATGTGCTAATCCTGGGCAGTCGGTGGGAGCATGGATATTTATTATAGCAATCTCTGTATGTTTCTAAATATTTAAAATTTTTCATGGTTGAAAACAAAGCAAACAAAAACAATGTAACAGGATAATCAGACTTGTAAGCCCCAGTACACAGCACATTCAATCCGAGTGCTACAGAGTGAGGTAGTGTGTGTATCCAGTCTTTGGAGCTAGACTGTCCAGGTTCAAATCCTAGCTCTACCATTTACCAGCTTTATGACCCAGAGCAAGTTACTTAACCTGCCCGTGCCTCAGTTTCCCTGGCTATAAAATTGGGACAATAATAATAGCTACGTCGTGGGGTCATTGTGAGTATTAACTACGTGAAGACGTGGAAAGCACTTAAACCAGTGCCTGGCATTTAGTACATACTTAGTAAGTGTTAGCTATCAATATTATGTGTTAGTATTACTATTCTTATGATTGCATTTACTACGTATGCTTGCATTGTTTTATGGCCGTCTTAAAGTTTACAGAAATGATGTTATCCAAAACATGGGGCCATCTGCGACGTGCTCGGTTTACACAATCCCCGTCTTGCTGTTCTGCAGGGAAATGGCTCATTCCAAGGCTAGCTTTCCGTGGGCAACCCCGTCCCATCCTTGCCTTGAGAACCCAGCACTGGACTTGTCAAGCTACCGAGCGATCTCTTCCCTTGACCTTCTCGGAGACTTCAAGCACTCCTCGAAAACAACAGAGGAAACTTCTGCCTGTGAGGAGGGGAGCTCCGTGGCCTCCGTGCCCCGCCCGCTGCGTAGCCGTGCCTTCTCAGAGAGCCACATCAGCTTGGAGCTGCAGAGCTCCCGGGCCTGGGGGCAGCATAGGAGGGAGCCCTTTACCAAAGCTGATGAGACCCAGCCGGATCCTCTGGGAGCCCGGAAGAAGGCCTTTCCTCCTCCTCGCCCGCCTCCTCCCAACTGGGAGAAGTACAGGCTCTTCCGTGCAGCCCAGGAGCAGCAGAAGCTGCAGCGAGAGGAGGAGGAAGAAGAGGAAGAAGAAGAAGAAGAGGAGGAAGGGGGAGAGGAGGAGGGGGAGGAGGAGGAGCTCCCACCCCAGTATTTCAGTTCAGAAACCACTGGTACCGGCACCCTCCATCCTGAAGAGGTCCTGGAGCACCCACAACCCCTGGGCTTTGGCCACTTGGAGCCTTCGAGGCAGGGCTCACAGAGCCTCCCAGCAGAGCAAGAGTCCTTTGGTCTCCATCCCAGCGATTTCCTGCCTCCAATAAGGGGCCACTTGGGATCTCAGCCTGAGAAGGTTCAGCCCCCTTGCTGTTACGGTCCCGGTGGGCTTTGGAGGACATCAGAGAAGGAGACCACTGATCCCCCCAAGTAAGTGCTTATGAAAGAAAGGTCCCCCAGGCGGCTGCAGCAGGAGCGTGAACACATCCTCCACCATTTACCAGCTGTGTGACCTTGGCTTGGTCGATTGATTAAACTGTTCCCAGCCTCACATTTTTCTCAGCGGGAAAACGGGCATGATGATACCCATTCCACTTGGCTGTCGTAAAGATGAAGACCATCTCTCTAAAGTAGGGAGCCCCGTGTGTAGCTCATAGTAGGTGCTCGGTAAATGGTCGTGGCTGATGTTCTTAACGATCGCTGTCAAAATACTATCTTATTTCTCAGTTTGCCTTTTAAGGTATGCATCAGTTTCACGCCCCTGAGCCAGAAGGAATTAAGCCCTCCCTGCCTCCTGGCATTTCCCCAGAGCCTGGCTCAGGCCCTTTCCTGCCTTGTTCTTTTGCTCGCTCTCTAGAACGAGAGGCCAGCTCACAGCCTGACCGGCCTCTGCTCTAGGACCTGCCCGGGGTTCTAAACTTCCCCCGCAGCTGCTCCTGGGGGTGGGCGCTTTGTGCCCCGCTCGTTCCTTACAAAAAGTCAAGGGCACTCCTTTCCTCTGCCCTTCTCTCCATCCCCTCCCCGCCCCAGCCCTGTGGCCCTGCCTCTTTGCATTTCCTTTGGCGGGCCACAGGTGGTAGTTGACAGGGTGAGCTGCCTGGGCAGGGAGGGCAGAGCAGGAGTGTAGCCCGGCCACCGGGCTGTTGGTGTCTGTGTGCCTCACTGTGCTTGCCCTACAGTGCCTGGCCGTTGTCCTGTTGGCTCCAAAGCGAAGGAGCTCTGGCCTCTGGCTCTGCCCACCATCCTGCCCAGAGCTCAGCCCGCACTCTGCTGGGGGGAGCGGGTGGGGGGCAGGTATCGATCCCATAAGTGCTTTCTTTAAATCCTTCTACAGAAGGAACTTGCCGGAGACTCGTTGCTATTAGAAGTACCTCGTTTTCGCATCTTTTACCCACCCACAAACCCTTCACCTGGCCATCTGGAACTAGTTGAGAAGTTTCCCAGCGCGAGGTGCACAAGCAGAGTGCAACAGGGCCTAGCTAGCTCCTAGACACTGGGAGGGTCTCTCATCGGAGCCCTCGCAGCTGCTTTTCAAGCTGTCCAGTTAGCTGGGCGGCGTTCTTACTGTCATCAGAAGACGTTTTGTGGAAAGCGACTGTGGTTGCTACCTGTCATGGCAGGGAGAAGGGAAGGTGACCTAGCATGTAGTAGGCACTTAACATTTAAGAAGACAGAATGAATAAACCAATGGCTGAACGTGTATGAAGCATTCGCTGTGTGCCACACACCGCTAGCCATTCTATACCCATTATTTCATTTAACCTCCCAACAGCCCTGTGTGCTGTTTGACAGATGATTCCCATTTGACAGATGAAGAAACTACAGCTGAGGAAAATAAGGGACTAACGGACTTCGATTCCAAAGCTAGATCTGTGTGACTCTAAAACCTACACTTCATTTGCCATCGTAGGCAGCCTCTCTCAGAGAGATCTTGTTCTTGCAACAGGCCAGGCCTTTACAAGGCCCTCTTGGCCCCTGTAGGGCAGAGTGTCTCAGCGATCGTAGTTAGAGGCCCCAGACTTGCCCCTTTCAGCCTCCTAGTCCTTCCTCCTTTTATGTACCTCCGTTCACCTTGGCGCCTTGGCCAGAGAGAAGGAAACTGCTATTACTAGAGATCTTGTAACTCGTTCCAGAGATTTATTTTGTTGTTGTTGTTAATGACTATAGAATGCAAGGGGAAACATCTGTTTGCACACAGCCCTAGCTAGCTGTGGCTGCAGAAAATCAATTATAGATGCCTCTCTGGATGATGTGGATTTAAGGAACAGCATTATTCCCAACAAAGCTAATATTTTTTTTTTTTTGCCTGCTTCCTATGTGCCAGGCATTGTTCTAAGCACCTTTGTGTGTTGATGGATTTAATCTTCACAACCAACCTATGAAATAGATATCATTAGTGTCCTACATCTTTTAGGTGAGAAAAGCGTGGCAAAGGGAGGCTAAAGTAACCTGCAGAAGATCACAGGTAGTCAGGACCCAGGCCATCTGGCTCACTGTGCCCAGTACATCCTCCCAGGATCTCTGGGCTCCTCAAGATCCTATTCCAGACCCTGGGAGAGCATAGGGTTCTAACCAGAAGGAAGTGACTTTAAGACTTTGTAAGGGAGAAGTGTTAGGGGCAGGTAGATGTATCATATTTTGAATCTAAAATACAAAAAAAAAGAAAAAGAAAAAGACATTCTAATTTCAGCCAAGTCAAACCAGAGCATTTCTATAACCCACATACTATTCAGTTACAAAACGCTGGGATACATCTAAAAACGAGGTTAGTGGAATTTTCAAGTGTTGGTTAAGTCCCCTAACTCTGGTTCGAGTACTGAACTCTATGCATTTCCTCTCAGTGCTCTGCAGAAGGAATCTGATTTTTGCTTCAGTGTTCATTATCAAATGCAGATTATGTTGTCATAGATCTCCTGTAACTCCTGCCCTATTAGTGGAGATTATGAGGACAGGAGCTCTGGGACATAATGCCTAAGATGATACGCTGTGATATGGTGCAGGGCTGTGTCCGCTGCGATCTGAGTCTATAATTAGCACATCCTTTTAAAAAATATTTCCAGTTTTATTGAGATATAACTGACATACAGCCACATCCTTTTTTCCCCTTAATTCTGTACTTTCTTTCAGCACTTTCTGACTCCGAACTCTCTCACACATGCCCTAAATATTTTTTCTGTCCTATTCCCTCCAGAATATTCTCTCTTGTCTGCTAACATAGATATAGTCCAGCCAGAAAATTCCTTACATGCAAGGTTTTATATGATGTCAAGTTGTCCCTTTGGCAATATAGCATAGTGGCTAAAAGTATAGATTCTGGAGTTAGGTCACGAAGGTCTAAATCATGGGTCTGTCATTTACTGTCTGGTGACCTTGGGGAAGTCACTTTCCCTCTCAGTACCTCATGTTCCTTATCTCTAAAGTGGTTGCCACGAGCATTAATTTTTTTTTAATTCTATCTACACACACACACTCAGAGACACCTACAGAAAAACACATCTTAGGACAGCTTCTAGGACATGGTAAGCGTGAGTGAATATTAGCTAGTATTATTTGTTTATTAGTGTTATTAGCTTAAAAAACCCACATGTAAAATGAATACCTTGGATGAGGAATATTGGCATGCCCAAGTTTCTTTTGTGTGATGAATTAGGAGAGAGCATAGCATGAATCAGTAAATAGCTGTGGAGCCTTTTAACCATTATTTTTGACCTTTATCTAAGAGCTGCAAGTAGCTGCAAAAATGACTAATGAGTTTCTCCTATTTTTCCTTTCAAACAGCTAGAGGTTAGCAAAGGGGCAGTGACACAGACAGGTGGAGGGTAGGGGTGGCTGGTAGGCAACAAGAATATAGTGGGGGGGGCCCCCTCTTGCATAAACCATGGGTGGAATTCTTTGCCCTTCCATCACTGAAACCTGACATTAAAGCTTTTCTCCTTATTTTCTTCCTCACGCCAGACCAGAAGCCTCGATGGCAGAAGAGCCCAAACCCAAGCCAGCGTGGAAGCAGAGCTACTTCTTTCCACAGGAGCAGTTCTCTTTCATGGGCTGGGGCTCTGAGAAGCAGCACCTCAGCCCCACGGGCTTCAGTGAACCGAAGACAACAGGGTCTGCCGCTACATTTGTCAAGCCCCTGGGTGCCACTGGTTCCATTTTTTCCCCATTTCATTCTGCAACCATGGAGGAGGCTGGGGCCACTGGGGATATGGCAGAAGTGGAGAGATGCTATCCTTTCCCAGGCCGAAGGCCTGCCTCAAAGGCAGTCTCAGAAGAGCTCATGAGAGATGTGGTAGGCCGTGACAAGTCCCTGGCAGGGGTGTTAACCCCAGCCTCCAGCATGGTGACCACTGCTGAGGTCATGGGTGACCTCTTTGCTGTGGGAGATCTGCAATGGCGGGGCCATTTCAAGCAGGAATGGCACCACCAGGAAAGAAGAAATTACGCGAGTGTCCAGGAAAGCCATGGGGTGCCTTTGTAAGCAAGCAGACTAGATAGAGCTGGAGTGGGCGGCGGTGTGGGCTGCGTAGGAGGGAGGCCAACAGTCTTGGAGGATGAATAGCTAAGGTCTCAGATAGATCCCTACCACTTCCTCCCTCCCTGGGGATTCATATGCCGGGGCCATGAACTGAGGGGAATCCTGGAAGATCAGAAGCGCAGAACTTTGGGGCCTGCCAGTCTTTCTGGATCTTAGTGGGGCGCTGACCAAACCAAATCACCCCTAAAGAAGTTCCCCTACCCGTTGAAGTCCGGAGCATAGAAATAGCCTTCTAAATTCTCAAAGTCGGCCTTGCCTTGGCTTCTGGGTAATCTTCATGTGGCCCGTTGACATTTCAACAGTGCTTCCTGGTCCATCATTTCCTTATTCCATAGCTCCTTGGTGAAGCAGGGTCCTTTTCACAAATGGGGAAATTAAGAAGCAGAAAGTTCAGGAGCCTCTCTGACAGAGGTGCTCAAATGGTCATTCTTTGTTTCTACAGACAAGAATTTCAGCGCTTCTCGCCTCCTCCAGGGGCCCCAGGGATCCCTACCTCTTACTCAGCTTATTACAATATTTCTGTGGCCAAAGCAGAACTGTTGAACAAGTTGAAAGACCAACCCGAGATGGCAGAGATTGGCCTGGGAGAGGAAGAAGTTGACCACGAACTGGCTCAAAAAAAGGTGAAGTTTTCTGATATGCCTTAGATTTTCACCATTTAGTTTGCGTGTCTGGAGGTTGACCTGCCCTCTACGCTCTCCGGAACAACTTGGTGCATCCCCGTTTCTTCAGTATGGACATCAAATAGCCTCTCTGGGTTCCTCACAAATGCAAGTCTCTTTTTGATCCAGCCAATAATAGTAGTGATAGTAATAGAAATCATCAACATCATCATCATCATCATCATCATCATCATCATCACTGTGTCTCTCGAATCCTTAAAACAACTGGACAGTGATCCCCTTTTTTACCAATTGAGAGGACTAGGTTGCCCAGAGTTACAGACCTAGTAGTAGATCCAGGACTTGAATGAAGTCAAGACTGTCTCACTTTCTACTTTATTGCACCGTCCCTCTGAAATAAGCCAGCCTTGTAAGTAACTCGCCGCCCAGGGCACATCAGAGTTTTTGCCAGCGAGCTCAAACCAATAGCAGGCATTGATTGCATTCTCTGTGTAACTTTCTGGAAGAGGGAATAGACTGACTAAGCCAAAAAAAACGGGGGGGGAATTAGAGGCTGGTAAATTTTTGTATTTCTTTGCAAGAATAATCAATAATGTCTTAAAAATACTAGAATGAGCAACAGAAATGATGTTGTTGTTCCAAAGCCTCCCCGTTCTTCCTGTAAGCATCACTAGGCTAGTTTTCTAATCAAATTCCTGGAATCACTTTGCCCTCCCTGCACTTACCCATTTTATTTCATAAGCAAATAGGGTTTCCATGCCAACCCCAAAGGCCTAATTTACCACTTTGTGAACATCTGAACTCGACGTAAATTGCTCCTCTGCCCATGCTTCTCATTCAGGACATGACCTGTAGGAAAGCTGGAGGCCATTTGCAGGAGACCCCCCACCACTTTCAAATCTGAAGCAAAATGTCAGGGAAAGAATTGGAAGCATGGTGGTATCAAAGTTGTATTGATCCAGATGCCTGCCTCCTTGGATTCTGTGTTCCCTGAGCGTGGCAAGGCTGCTCCCGGCTTACTCAGGACCTTTTTATTAGGAGCAAACCTGATAAGAGTCTGAGCAGGAAAAGAGAAAAATGATCAGAAATGGCAAAGCACGGAACAGCAGGTAGTGATTTGAAGTGATTGTGGGGGAGCTAGGACAGCTTTTGTCTGAGGAAGACAGGTGAAGAAGGTCACCAATTTGCAATATCCTAGAAAAGCAACTCAGCTCTAGCTGGGTCTGTGATGACTCCTTAGCTCTATCCAGTACACTTTCCCCAGGACCGAAGTTCAGTTTGCAAAGGCAGGTGCCAAGAAACAAAGGGCTCTCTTCGCTTGCATCCTTCCGGACCTATGGAATGATGGAACCGAAGAGCTAGGGTGGGTAGGTGATTTTCCAAGTTGATCATTTGGCCCCCAGCCCTCCCTTGTCCCTGGCATTGAGTTTTGTTTGGGAGAGCAGAGGGTAAGGATATAACGGAGCCTCTTGGCATCTAATTGTATTGCCTCATTCATATCATTGATCCCTGATTCTCAGTGAGTTTTAGAATTTTCCTTACGTGTAAACCGATGACACTTCAGACTTAAGATCATAGTGATCTCCTGACTTCTGGCCAGCTCTGAATTAGATACGAGGCCCTGGACCCAGAGCAGTCTCTCTTGGGACATTTCTTGGACACTTCTCCTTGGACATGTCTAAATAAATTACTAGAAAGGAGCACATGCTAGAAAATGACAAGCCTGTGGTCCCAGAGTGCCTGGGTGTGAATAATAACAAAACAAACCCTGAAGCAGGGCACACGGGTGGCTCAGTCAGTTAAGCATCCAGCTCTTGATTTGGGCTCGGGTCAGGAGATCGAGCCCTGCGTCGGGCTAGATGCTGGGCATGGAGTCTGCTTAAGATTCTCTCTCTGCCCTTCTCCCCCAGCTCACATGCTCTCTCTCTCCCTCTCTCTCTAAAAAATTATGAAAAGAACAAATACATGCTGAAGCATACTTCAGTATATATACACAAGATACAAGATACAAGATACTGTTCTAAGTGTGTAACCTGTATTAACTCATTTCATTTTCAGAACAGTACTATGAGGTAGGTGCTATTGTTATCCCATTTTTTAGATGGGGAAATTGAAGCACAGAAAGGCTGAGTGATTTGCTCAAGGTTACACTGGTGCTTTGTGGCAGAACTGGGGTTCAAACCCAAGTAGTCTGGCACTAGAGTCCATGCTCTTAACCACAATGCGACGCTGAATGCAAAGGCTGTGAGCAACCTGGGGTGGCTCCGTTCTTGTTGGGACTGTACACCAGACAAGCTTCTGCTAGCTCAGCGTACCTGGTAACGACAACAACAACAACAACAACAACAGCAGCAGCAGCAGCAGCCCTAAATAGGTATTGAGCACTTAAGGGGCCAGGCACAATACTAAACATTTTACTTTATGATCTCATTTAACCCCCACCAAGGTGGCAGGGTGGGGGAGGAGAGGAGAAGCATCTCCAGTTTACAGATGAGGAAACAGAAGACTCTGGGTATCTTGCCCAAGGTCACACAGTTTGGAGGGGGTGGAATTGGAATCCAGGCCATCTCTGTCTCCAAATGGCCGCTCTACCACACTACCTTCCTGTGAGTGGGGTTCCAGAACTCATTACACCCAGAGGGGAGACAGATCAGAAGACACAAGCAGTTTTTCCCTTAAGAAACTTATCATCAGGGCGCCTGGGTGGCTCAGTCGGTTAAGCGTCTGCCTTCGGCTCAGCTCATGATCCCAGGGTCCTGGGATCGAGTCCCGCATTGAGCTCCCAGCTCGGCGGGAAGCCGGCTTCTCCCTCTTCCTGCCACTCCCCCTGCTCGTGCTCTCTCTCTCTCTCTCTCAAATAAATAAATAAAATCTTTAAAGAAAAAAGAAACTTATCATCGGTAGGAGATGGATCAGCTGCAACCACGTGAAACAGGGAATGAACAACTTCAAATTATACTCTAGCATTCTATTTCTGAAAGGCAGGAGAGTTCAGGAAAGAAAGAGATCATTGAGAGATGGGGTATGGAGGCAAAAGCTTCCTGCAGGGAGGGTGGGAGCAAAGCTGGGCCCTGAGGAAAGAAGGGAAATAGCCAAAGTGAAGGAAGAGATGGAGAGCAGGTAGAAGTGCATGAAGCAAATCAGGGGCACAAGGATGAGGGTTGTAAATGCAGATGGAATGAGGGGCTAATCCTGAAAGGTTCAGAGCCTTGAGACCCGAATGGTAGGGTGGGGCCAGGTGGAGTGACAGCCTAGCGGCCCACATTTATTAAACACTTAGTCCCTGCTAAGTCCGTGGCATGCATCATCCCATTCAATGAAGTGGGTCCTACAATTATGCCCATTCCGCAGATCAAGAGTGAACTCCATAAAGAAATCTGCCCAAGGTCACACAGCCAGGAAGGTGGCAGAACTAGAAGTCAAACCTAGTCATTGGGACTTCAGAACTCAGTCTTATCCAAAAGGCCTCAAAAGCCAAACGGGGGGGGGTGAAGGGCCAGCACAGGGCCATGCACACAAGACCTAACTCAGTGGATTGAAGGAGAATCAATGAAGCCAAAGGCAAATACTTGATGACGATGCTTTTCCAACCCGTGCTCTCACAAGCATTCCAATTCCTGTTTATTAAATGGTCTCAGCCAGTATTTATTAAGTTACATCTGGCAAATGAGAACTAGCCCCTGGGTACCACTTATCTGATGCCAAGAAGTTTGGTGGTGACTGATTCCTACCAGATCTGAAGAGATAGATGGGAGAGAGGGCGCCTATCCAGAAAACTGGAATTGCTCATGACTTGCTCGGGTTTCCTTTGTTTCTGATGACGGGTAGAGCCTGCCATCTGTTTCCAGATGGAAACCTCCATCCAAAACGGAGGTTACAGGCACAGATCAGTTTCTATCAGTCCCCATTCTCATCCTTTGCCTTCTCTTGTTGATTTCTCCTAGATACAGCTTATTGAAAGCATTGGCAGAAAGCTTTCTGTCCTGCGGGAGGCCCAGCGAGGACTGCTAGAGGACATCGGTGCCAATTCTGCCCTTGGGGAGGAGGTGGAGGCCAACCTAAAAGCGGTCTGTAAATCCAACGAGTTTGAAAAATACCATTTGTTTATCGGGGACCTGGACAAAGTGGTCAACCTATTGCTGTCCCTCTCTGGACGACTGGCCCGGGTGGAGAATGCTCTCAACAGCATCGATTCAGAGGCCAACCAGGAGAAGGTAGAGTTGGGGTCTCAGGGGTGGATGGAGGGAAGTTCCATCTGTTCCTTCTTGGGGCTCCCTCTTTCAAGTCTGGCTCATCTGGGAGACAGTAAAGCATAGTGTTAAGAGTGTGGGCACTCGCTTTTAAGTGCCTGGAAATTCTGGCTCTACCAATAATTAGCTGTGTGACTGGGCAACTTACTTAACCGTACTCTGTCTCAGTCTCTTCAAAAACACACTACCTCCACCTCATGGGGTTGTAAGAATTAAATTAGATAATCCAGAGCTCCTGGCTGGCTCAGTCGGTTAAGCATCTGCCTTCGGCTCAGGTCATGATCCCAGGGTCCTGGGATCAAGTCCCACATCGGGCTCCCTGCTCAGCGGGGGGTCTGTTTCTCCCTCTCCCTCCCTCTCCCTCGGTGCTCTCCCTCCCCCCCCAAATAAATAAAATCTTTAAAAAATAAATAAATAAATTAGATAATCCATATTAATTACTTAAAACAGGGCCCAGAACAGGGTAAACACTGAATGAGTGCTACCCGCCAGTAGTAGTAGCAGTAATAGTAGCAACAGTAGTAGTAGTAGTATCGATAGTGATAGTGGTAGTAATAGTAGTAACAGTAGTAGTAGTAGTAGTATCGATAGTGATAGTGGTAGTAATAGTCGTAGTGGTGGTGGTGATATCATCAGTGTTAGTGGTAATAATAGTAGTAATAGTAGTAGTAGGATCGGTGCTGACGGTGGTAGGAAGAGTAGTAGCAGCAGCAGCAGTTTCACCTTACTCTCTCTCCGAGTTGGAAGACGAGGTCTCACCAAGTAGCTGAGATTGGGAGTCTATCAGTTTCACAGGTTGGGCCACTCTGCATAATTCCTTGAACCAAAAGGGGCATTACCTTTCCACACATAAGTGGTTTGGGATACAAATTGGAATCCACAATGAGAGGCACATACACACGAGCATACACGCATGGATACATACTCACACGTGTACACCAACACAGAGACATGAGCCATTTTGAAAGCACTGTCACGGTGATCCTTGTTCTCCGGTTGGAAGGGGCATGAGCTGGCTTTGTCAGAACCTTCCCCCACCCTAACCCAGGTGGTGGTCCATGGATTAAAGGCAGCTTAGGGATGGAAAGGGGTGAATACACACCGCCCTGTCCAGAAGCACTGTTGTGTTCATCCTCCCCTCCCCGCCCCCATGAGAAAGAAGGGCTTTTGCATGAAGGTGGACCTCAGGGCAGGAAATCTAGGACTAATCAGTTAGCAGAGTGGGGAGCTGTTGGTGGCAGCATTCCTGGTGGAGCCGTGGGTAAGGCAGCCGACTGGGAACTGGGATGGCTCTTAATTGGTCTATCTGATTCCTCAGTTGGTGCTGATAGAGAAGAAGCAGCAGCTGACAGGGCAGTTGGCAGATGCCAAGGAGCTGAAGGAGCATGTGGACCGCCGCGAGAAGCTGGTGTTTGGCATGGTCTCCCGCTACCTGCCTCAGGACCAGCTCCAAGATTACCAACACTTTGTGAAGATGAAATCTGCTCTCATCATCGAACAGCGAGAGTTGGAAGAGAAGATCAAGCTTGGGGAAGAGCAGCTCAAATGTCTCAGGGAGAGCCTGCTCCTGGGGCCCAGCAATTTCTAATTCCTCCAGCGGATTGACCCGCCATCCCTGCCCAGCCACAATGGGAAGTGCTTTCAATCTTTGTTAGCAGTTTGTTAGCAAGTAGATAGCAGTTAGTTAGCAGTTTGTTCCATAGCCTCTACCTTGGACATCTCTCACTGCCCCTTACCTAGCACTGTTCCCAATCAGCTAGGAGTCCCTGAGGAGGCCCCAAACTTCTACCTTAGGGAGCAAAAGCAAGAAGTAGGGGGTGCCCGCAGCAAGGTGTGGTTATACAACCACACTCTCCTTCCCATGGTTTGCACAGGCAAGCACTCCCCGCACACAGAACCAACGAAGTGCCTGCATTCCTCTTGGTACAAGGACTCCAAAGACATCGTGCACTCACCACCCACCCATGCCACAACCAGCCTCTCAAGGCTCAGAGAGAAGCTGCCTGTACAGCTCCATCCTGCCCAAGGCTCGTGGCCCAGCCATTGCCCACAGAGATCTGGCTGTCTTGAGGGCCTCACTCACCAGCAATTTAAGGGCCTCACGTAAGCTCAGAAGGAGAAATTACACAAAACAGAATGTGCGCAAAGATTGGGAATCCCTAGGTGCCTGCCTACCTTCCCCAGCATCTGGTTGAGGGGGAAGGAGGCCTACTCTCAGCCCTGGCTAGTGTGGCCCTGCTCCCGTCCTAAGATTTTTGGCCTACCACTTCCTGTCCCTTCCTGCCTTTCATTGCTGGGGCTTATAGGTGCCCACCCTATGGGCTGCACACCATGGGTCATTAATAGCTCTACGAAAGCTGACTTCTGGATACACATTTCACTATTGGGGTGAGGGGTTCTTTGTTGTATTTTAAATGGCCTTTTGATTTTATTTATTTTCATGTTTTGATTTTTTTTTCCTTTTTTTTAACTAAGAAGGAGAGAAGAGGGGAGTCGGAGAGGGAAAAGTAATCCCAGAAGGACAGCGTTTTCTGCAGATCAGCCTGAATTTCACCATGGCTAGATGAGCAAATGCCAAAGCCTTGAATTCTTCCCACTGAAGCCTACAAGTGTCTAAAAAAGGAGTTCTCACCTTGAACTCAGCTTACTATGGCCTGGCCCTATACTTTCCTTGAAGTCAGGATACCCATAAGCTTAGCATTCCCCAACAGGGTTCAGTTTTTTTCTTACCTATTTTTTCTTGAAACCAAAGAAATCTGAAACTGACAAAGGTTCACCCATTTCTCCACCACCTCCCATCTAAGAAATTGGGTAGAAGGGAGCTCAGGAAGAGATCTTCCATCTCACAATTGCTTTCTCCAGCCTGTGGCCTGACTCAGGGAACTGAAATTCATGGTAGCTAGAAGCTCCAGCCAGGGCCACCCCCCTCCACCCCTCAGCCCCCCACCCCCTGCCCAGAGCAAATTACGACCCAGCCATGGTCTTAGGCACACAAGCAACTAAGGCTGCTGTTGTTGGCTAATGCTGCCAAGGTTCTGACACCACTAGCCAGTTTCTGTCCTGGAAAATTGGAAAATCCCTCATGTGGGCGACGACAGGAAAGGAGTTGTGGCCAAACGCTAGCCTATTAACCAGCTCTGTCCCTGTTCCTCGCTCACTGGTGCCCCCAGTTCATATTGCACAGCCCTGCCCAGCAAGCCCTGACATCTCTTCTAGTTACTGCTGAGTTCCTTGGGGGTCCTTGGAGGTTAACTGTAGCAGCAGGGGTGCCTCACTCAGCTGAAGAATTTGCCAAAGAACTCTGCTGCAGCTACAAACACTGGTCTCCAGCTTCCGTTTCCTTTTCATTGTATTTGGAAACAATGGAAGAATCTTGGCCAGCAGGGTGTCCTGAGGGGGGCCCTGGGTATGCTCTTAGTACACTGCTGCTATCAGAACCACTGTTAAAATGTCAACCTGCCATTCTCCCCCTCAAAGGGAGGAGTCTACTCTATTCAGGAAGGCTGATGGCTTGTAAAGGGCTAGGCTGACCCAAGCCGAGGTGGAGGAAGGTGGGGGAGTGCTATGAATAGAGGCTGTGGTTGTCATCTTTTTTTTTTTTTTTTTTTCTTAAACAGGCTCTAGGATAAATAAGGAGTAAGTTGAGATGTCCCGCATTGGGGGGTGAGGCCAACATAAACCAACATTCTAAGATTTGGGGGGGGGTGCTTAGAACAGCTTTTTGGGAAACACAGGCCCAGGGAAAAGAGTGGTCACTTACCTGGACCCGATGACCATGGTCTGGGATTTTCTAGTCAGCGTTAGATTGCTTGTACATTAAATTTATCACACTAAAAGTACTATTGACTGTGTTATTTTTGTCCCTCATCCCACCTGAGATTAGAGTTGGAATCAGAACACCAGGATGCTCATTTACACACAGAAGGACGGTTTCTAAAGCACTTAACCCCAAAACTATACTGAGCAGTGAAGCTTGGCAGACATAGGGGAACTACTAAACAGGAACTAAGACCCCGTGCTACTGATGTGAGTGACGGTGCTTCAGAACTGCCAGTATTACTTGAGATGCAGTGTCTCTCCCCTGTTCTCATTTCCTGGGCTCAGCCCTCTTGCAAGGTCTGCCAGGGGTAGCAGTTTGGAAGGCAGACCAAGGGATTTTCCCAAAGAAGGTTATTGGTCTTGACTTCTGTCCTCTCTCTTCAAATACTCATACAGGCCCCAGTGGGTAATAGGTTGATAGAAAGAGAGGAATCAGTACAAGGGTTATTATCATTTGTCCCTTCTTACTCCCCCACCCCAAACCCGGGCTCTGGGTGATTGAGTCTCCTTGAGTCCCACCAGCTGCAGACTCAGCCAGGGTTTAGTGGTAAATGCTCCAGGGGAACCTGGAGACACACTAAAAACAAAACCCTAGAAACAAAGAGACTGGAGGAAGAGAGAGGGTGAAAGATGAAAAGCCTTTTTCAAGGCCAGGTTCAGGCTCTGTTTTCCATTTAACCTCCTGTGTCAAAAAGCTGCCCAGGGGCACCAGAGCCACAACCTGAACCCCCGTCTCCCTGAAGGTGCTGCTCTGCCCGTAGCAGCAAGTCCCAGATGGAGGAAGCTGGGCACATTTATGGCCACTTCCTCCTGTCTGGAGCTTGGTGACTCCCACTGTCTTTGCCAAAGGAGTTGTCTATGCCAATAATAGTTCTGTAACAGCATATTATAATCTTTGAAGATTAGTAGATCTTTAGAGGGGGGTGGGGCAGGGGGCAATTTCTATAGATAAAGAACCAGTGTTTGTTGTACAACTGTTGGGGGTCATCTATGCCATGTGAAGCTATTATTTTTCTGAATCTTATTGTTTCTGCAATTGTGTCCTCCACCACTCCCTTCTTGGCTGACATTGATATGCCTGCCGGATTGTCATCAAGGGTTATACTTCAATAAAGGGTGCTAAGGACAAAAAAAAAAATCTCAAGTGTTTTGATTGAGGTGACGGAAATTCTCTAAAATTCTACTGAAAAATATCGGAAAGAAATTTGGTCACCTATCTATAATCCTTCATAGGTAACCATATGACCAGAGCCTTACCCATATCCCTACTCTTACCGTGGCCCCTCAGGGATAGCACTGATGCTATACCATTCATTAACCCCAGGAAAATAATTTAGAATTCAGGAAGCAACAACAATAGGTGTAATCTTAATTGTAGACCTCAGCAGTATACAGAGTCCAGTCATAGAGTCTAGCCTGATCAGAGAGATGAGGCACTTTCTAGACCACCTCCAGTCATGAGTTCTGTCCACTAGTATCATCTGCTACCTGATAGTCCAGTCTCATACCTTGCTTCTTAGCAACCTGGAGAGCAAGGTTCTCACTGATCCACTCTCCAAGATAACCTCAAGGTTGAGACCCAAATGCACTCCTGGCAGCAACTCTGACCCTGAAAAGCATGCCTTATCCCTCAATGTATACATTGTTTGTAGCCCAAGTGATCTCCTCCTATTCCAGATATCCAGTGTGATAGAGTGGAAAGTGCCCGGCTTTGGCATTAACATGAACTGTGTCCAAGTCCTGGTTTTGCCACTTATTCTGTGAGCTGGGTTATTTGCTCAACTTTTGAGTTTATTTTCTTGTCTGTAAAATGGGAATAATAATACATATCTTGCATAGTTGTGGCTTAAAAGTAATAAATGAAAGCTACGAGCTATCTACTGAGAAGTTGTTAGAAAGGCAGAATCCTGGCTCCACCCCATACCAACTAACAGCAGTCTGCATTTTAACTAGATTCCCAGAAGATTTATATGGATATTAAAGGTTAAGAAGCATTAACCGTTCATAAACATGCTCAGTACATGGTAATCTATTATTCCAGTCCTGATTTATCTAATTCATTCTTTTGTAATCCAAGGCATATTATTGATCTCATACTGCTCACACCTACCTGCCTAAATGAGTTCAACAAGGTTGCAGGATATAAAGTTGATACGTAAAATCACTTGTATTCTACACACTAGTAATCAACAATCTGGAAACAAAATTAAGAAAACAATTCCATTTACAATAGCATCAATAAGAACAGAACACTTAGGAATACATTTAACAAAAGAAATGTAAGAATTTTATACTGAAACTACAAAATGTTGAAAGAAATTAAATAAAATCTAAACCTAGTATTTAGATGACAGTACTCCCTAAATGGATCTACACATTCAATCCAATCTTTATAAGAATGCTGGCTGTCTTTTTTGCATAAATTGAAAAGTCAAACCTACACTTCATATAAAATTGCAAGGGACCCAAAATAGTCAAAACAGTCTTTAAAAAGAACAAACTTGGAGAATTCACACTTCTCGATTTCAAAACTTATTACAAAGCTACAGTAATCAAGACAGTGTGGTACACATACAAAGATAGACATGTAAATAAACAGAATAGTATTGAAAGTACAGAAATAGTAAGTCCTCAGGGGCTCCTGGGTGGCTCAGGTGGTAAGTGTCTGCCTTCTGCTTGGATCATGATGCCAGGGTCCCGGGATCAAGCCCTGCATCAGGCTCCTTCGTTGGCAGGGAGCCTGCTTCTTCCTCTGCCTGCCACTACCCC